CCTCACCACCCTCAGAGTTCCCCATTTCCTCTGAACTCTGAATTCTCACAGTAGTGGGGCAGGGGGAGGAGGATGGATATTCCCAACAACAATTGATCTTGCTTGTTGGAATGCAAAATATGTTGGGGTGGCTTGGTCTAGAATGAACAGTCAAGTCCTAGTAGCTTTACCAGAGGCCTGTTTCTGGACCAGTATGGTTGCCTGAATTTCCAGATCCTCTTTGCTCCTGAAATGTCTCAGTCACTCAAAGAGAGTGGGGAAGTGGCAGAAAGGAGCAGCAGTGGCACAAGGGCCAAAGGGTTCCCAAGGCAAGGGAAAGGGTAAGATTGGACCAAGGTATCTCACTGCCTAAGACAAAGAACCACAAGATGGCGCCCTCTCTTCTTCCATTTACAAGAGCCACCTGGACTAGCAGCTGAATCTTTCTTCAGGAGTGGCAATGGGACAGCCACTACTGGTCCTGAAAGCAGGTTAGCTGAGAGGGTACAGAGCAAGCTGCTTGTCACACACCTCTCTCAACACCTTGCCACAGCCTCCCAGCATCTATCACCTGAGGTGACTGCTTCACTTGCATAATGATAGGGCCAGCCCTGAGTCTACATATTTAGCTGAAGGGAAAGAAGATTAAGGGGCAGGATTAAGCAGGTGGTTTAGAAATATTTTAAAGGATTTCTGAAAGAAGAGAGGTAGCAGCAATTTCTCTATGAATGGCAGCAATGGCTGTAAAGCAGAGAGAGGTTACTTTTCATTCAAGATTAAGAAAAACTTCAGAACAAAACTTGCTGGGAGCTCTTCCGCAGGGATTTTAGAGGAAAGATGTAGCAGGTATGGGTCATGTACCTTGCTATAGTGTTGGGAAAGCAGCTGAAGATTTGTTTATTTTAACCATACACAAAAATATACAGCAAAGGTTAGCTATACATCATGATCTTGGGCATAATTATTTATTTTATTTATTTAAAACATGTATATGCCATCACCACATGTCTCGGCATCTCGGGACGGCTCACAGCACGTACAATTAAAAACAATAAAACAATAACAAATTCCATACAATTATGGAATTTTTATTATGTAAAAAGCGACAATGATAAAATATTAATTTTTAAAATAGCAATTAAATAAAAAGGTTTATTTAATTACTCAGAAATAAGTTCCACTGAATTTAACAACATGGAAGAAGGGGTAAACAGTCTGCTGATCAAATTCACAGATGATACTAAAACTGGGGCAGTGGCCACAACTGAGGAGCAGGTACTCCAGATCCAAAAGGATCTGGACAGACTGTGGAAGTGAGCAGGAGACAAGAGGATGGCGTTCAATGTGGATAAGTGCAAGGTTTTGCACTTGGGGCATAGGAATGGGTGCCATAAGTACAGGTTAGGGGTCAAGTGGCTGGAGAGCAGCACTTGTGAAAGGGACCTCGGGGTGCTAGTTGACTGCAGGCTAAACATGAGTCAGCAATGTGATGCGGTTGTCAAGAGGGTGAACGCCACCCTTGGTTTCATAGCCAGAAGCATGGCTTCTATATCGAGAGAGGTATTACTACCACTCTATACGACTCTGGTGCACCCGCAACTGGAGTACTGTGCTCAGTTTTGGGCCCCTCATTACAGGAAGGATATAGCCAGGTTAGAGTCAGTGCAGCGTAGGGCCACAAGGTTGGTGGCCGTTTTGCAGGGGATGCCATATGAAGCGAGACTGAGGGAACTGGGTCTCTTCAGGCTGGAGAAGAAGAGACTCAGGGGATCTGTTGGTGTCATACAGGTATGTGAGGGGGTGTCACACGGAGATGCGTAGACATCAGTTCTCCCCTGCAGAGGAGGGCAGGACGTGATCCAAAGGAGCCAAACTCAAGGAATTAAGGTTCAATTTGGATGCCAGGAAGTACTTCCTGACATTTAGGGCCCCAAGGGTATGGAACGGGCTTCCACAGGAGGTGGTTGAGGCCCCATCGGTGAGGGTGTTCAAAGATAGGCTTGACACCCCCTCACATACCTACACGTCACCAACAGATCGCCTCGAATTGATTTAACCAATTTGTGCATCAGTTTCATACTCAGGACCACATAGTCCAACAAAGGAGCCTTATAGCTTGGGCACAATACTGTGGGAGGTTAGTTAATAATATTGGAATTACCATATTTTTCCATGTATAAGATGATACTTTTTCTTGAAAATATGTACCTAAAAATGGAGGGGCGTCTTATACATGGGGGGCGGAGGGGAGAACCGTGGGTGCGCTTGGGGGGCGGGACTGGTGCGATCACAGGCGCGCTTGGAGGGGTGACTGGTGCAGGGAGGCAGTGTGCACGTGCACGGCAGCAGCTTGCTCACTCGGAGATCGGTAAGAAAGGTGGGGGGCATCCTATACATGGGGGCATCTTATAGACGGAAAAATACAGTAAATTCCTAGATATCAAGAGAGTTAAAGACAGTCCTCATCCAAACAAGGAAAGGCAAGTACTCGTGACAACAATATATTTAATTTATCTGTCAAGTGTGAAGCACATCCATGTGCAAGTTTGTAAGCACCCTTTGGAAATTAAAGCTCAATTCCTTCCCCACTTACCACTTCTGAGTATTTTGAAGGAATGTGTGCATTTCTTTCACACTTGATAGAGCCTTGCATATCCACCCCAGAGTTCAAACTATAAAGCAAGAGAAGACATACCTTAATTTAGCCTTCCCTAGCCTGATGCCCTTCAAATGTGTTTCCAACTCAGTCAGTCAAAGTGTATTGACTGTGTCATAGAGCCATTCTAGAGGGCTGAGTGCAACTACAGTCATTCCTAGGTCATTTTGGCTGGGAATGGTGGAATCCATAGTCTATCTGAAGGCCTCTGGGTTCAGGAAAGCTCCCTGATTTATTTGAATGTATACTCTTTGCCACTGTTCAAATGGCTTTCATTTGATTGCACTGCTGACCCTTTCAACTTTGATCTCCACCCTTTGCCCTATGCTGAGGTAGCTCATGTGTAAAGTCTCAGTGATTTTTTGGTGTAACCAAATTCTTACAATATTTTGCTGTATATGTCATCAACTTTGGAAATACTGTTCACCTAAATACTGATCTCTCTCTCTCTCTTTCTCTCTCTCTCTCTCTCTCTCTCTCTCTCTCATCTCCAAAATGCTGGAGATGCTTTAGAGGTGCTTTTAGTGTGCTTTAGAGATGCTTTTCTCGGCTGCTTCTCTTCTCTTTCTGACCAGTTTTAATGGGTCTCTCTTACTGCTTCCCCTTTTATTTCCCTTCCATCTTTTTGTTGATTTACCTCTGGGTTCAGTTCACACCCTCCTTTTTGACTGCATAGGCAAAACAGTTGAGTCCTGGAACTGTTGCTCTTACTCACTTGCTGATGAACTTCAAGTCTCTGCCCATTTCTGCTTTTTTATGCTTCACCATGTATCTTGCATCTATTGTCTGAATTATGACATCCAAGGGGCACCTTCCTTGATAAAAGCTTTGGAGGTTTTTTGCGTCACTTGGTATTTGGATTGCCCTGGATTCTTGGGGAAGAGCGGAAGAAGCTTATCCCCCTCACATACTTGTAGCAACTTTAGGTAGCCCAATGGAATGTGAATCCTCCCATGCTGCCATGGTATCCCACTATCGTGCTGCATTTCCTTCCTATGTTTCTATATCAATCCTCTCTAACCTTGTGCCATCCAGCTGTTTTGGACATTAATTTGCATCAGTCCAGTGAGCATAGCCAATGGCCAGTTGTCATTCAAAGCATCTGGAAGGTGCAGGCTGGGGAAGGCTGTTTTATATGATGCCTCTCATGCCATATGCATTCCCTTGGGTCAAATCCTTCAGACAGATCTTCTAATCTGACAAACTGGCCAAAATTAACTTTTGCCAGAACAGCCGAGAGACTCCACAGTGACTGTGAACTAGACTGCCCTACTGCTCCCAGTCTGTAAAAAGTTTTTAGCAAGTAGATAGTTCAGTAGTGGAAACACCCATGTGTGTTTTGTAAAAAAAATAAAATAAAATTAATCAGAAGGTATGCTTTTAATTAATAATGTGCCAGCCACTAGCCAACGCTCTGTGGGCGCGTCACAACACTCTGCTTTGTGGCATAAAGAACGGGAAGATGTGCTTTCCAGTTACCAAATGCTGTACAGGACTGTCTCTGGGCTCCTGGTAAACACTGTCATCAGCCATGGGCCTCCCTTTGGTGAGGCTCTGCTAGCATCAGGCAAGGCATGCCGGCAAGCTGCTTCCCATCTTTGCAATTTGCTTCGCATGACTGGCACATGGCTGGGTTTGGTTTGCCTGGGGGTGGGGGTGTCTTTTTTCTGGTCTGTATCTTTGTCAAGGTTGCTGTTGGTATAATGGAAGCCATTGGCTTCTATATGTGAAACTGGAGACGTTGTTGAGGTGAGTGTGCTCGTGCTGGATGCTGTGTGTCATACCTGCCCACTGTCCCTGACATCAGAGTAGCCAGTGCTCAGTCCCATCTCAGTGAAGTCCCTCACTGCAGCCTCTTTTTGTTCATTCTCCTTGCCCACAGAAGTAAATAGATCCCATTGGGTTTTGTAGGGGGAAAGACTGCAATCAGGGTGAGAGCTGAGATCCAGGCCAGAGCAGCACTCTTTCCTAGATAGCAGTTGCCCCAGAATTGGCTGGAAAAGGCAAATTTGTACTGTCTCAGGAGGCTTCTTGATTTTTACTCAAAAAATGTCTTCTGTGCAATTCAGTGGAAACCACTGATTTCTGTTGGAGGGGAGCCAGCACCAGATGGTAGAAAGGAACACCATTCCCCTTAGGCACCCTGGCTAAAGTTGTCCACAAGTCAGCAGTGCACTGGCCCAGTTGGTAGAACCGTGTGTTTTCACGGAACTTGTATTAGGGTCAGAAACACTGGGAAACAGCAGATTCTGCCAAGAATCTATCTGGTCCTCTTGGCTCTACCCCAACCCACCATATTCTCTTCCATTTTTGTATTGATTCCCGCACTACAACATCATCCTTGTCCATGTTTGCCTACCTGCAGGCGTTGCTGAGACTCAATGGAGGACTCCACCCGTGTGGGATACTGCATTGTGGCTGGCAGCTTTGTGGCTTTCCAGTTCTTCTTCTCAGCTCTCAGTCCTCAGCTGTTTGTGTCGCTGAGCCCTGCGTACTGCACCCTTCCTGCAGTCAAGCAAAATGAATGGAATTCCAGGTATTGCCTTTGTGTGTGTTGGGTGGGGGGAGGGGAGTTCTTCCTAGCATCAGACCCCCTCACAGGTCAGAGCCTTACATGCCTTGTAGGGGTGTGTGTGTGTGTCTACCTGAGAATGAGCAAGGGAGAGAGAGCTGTTAGAAACAAATGCTGTTATCTCTGCATGTCCTCCTTCCTAGATGTGTGTCCACCGTCCACGCAATGATTGTCAGCTTCTTCTGCCTCTACATCCTTTGGTTTGATGATGCTGTAAATGCCAACCCTATCTGGTAAGACAGAGCAGCTCACCTGGCTTTCTCATAAGCCTCCTGGGGCAGCTTTGCTGTCCTCAGCCTTCTTTCCCTGGCAAGAGGGGGAAGCCTGGGAGCTTGATTGGCCCCATTGTGCCTGGAAGCCATGAAGGAGTGCTTTGTACTAGGAAAGAATGGAGCCTTGTTCCTCTTGGGGTTTAGGATTGAAGTGTGGGGGTGGAAGTGGTCAGCTCCAGGCAGGAGATCTGAGCCAGGCTGCCACTGGGCCTAAAGAGGGGCTTATGTTCCTGCCCTCATCCTCCCTCTCTCTCCCTCCACCTTTCAGTGCTTTTGAGTGGGACTCCTGAGGTGAACTGCTAAAGCTCAGTAGGCACCAACCCTCTCCATTCCCCCTTCCTGTGCCATGAATACCCTGGCAGTTTTGCTCCCCTCTCCCCGGAAGCTCATACTGGGCCGGCTGATGCCATGGTCACACAGCTTCCTTGTACCACATCACCCGCTGAGAACTTGTGTCTAATCCATCTCTGGACCATCTGCCAGCTGCAGAATTTTAATCAGGGACCTTTGGGTGGCAACAGTGTTAGGCTGCATCCAGAAACCCTCTTAGCACATTTTGTTCCATTCAGTTTTGTTCCCTGCTGTCTTATGAGTCTCTCCATAGACTTCCTTCTTCCAGAAATGCAATCCAGATTTACGTTTTTAATCTGTATAAAACAGAATTTGTGCAGTTGTACCCATATGCATCTTTTCCCAAACCAAAACAACAACAATAATAATCCCAGAGACTGTTTTCTAAAAGACAAAGGCTGCAATGGCATAAGCAGATTTTGCTTCTGGTAAAACTAACACAGTGCCCTGGAGCTGGCACCTGCTCCAGCAGGAGACCCAGTGCCAGTCCCTGGAGCTTCCTGGCTCTCCCCTCCCTCTCTTTGCTACTCTGCCTGTTTTCTTGCCCTCTCTGCCTGAGTGAGCAAGCAAGCAGTATGTGAGCCCAGGCAAGCAAATGGGCAGTGGCTACACTGGCAACAAGGAGGGGGTGGGCTAGATGCCACTGGAAACCAGACCAGGAGAAAAGCTCCAAAAGTCAAAGAAAAAGGCGCATGGCTATGGCAGGGATGAAAAATGACATCAACCTTGTCTAAATAAGCTCTAATCAGTAGATTAATCAAGAGGATGTAAATATTTGATGCTCCTTAAAATTAAAATAGATTTTTAAATTTGCATTGGATGTTTATTTTTAAATTCAGTTATTGTTAGTATCACAACAGGGTCAGTCTTACAGACCAGTTAGAGTAGAATGAAGTCAAGTGAGTCAACATCAGATGGCCTAGAGAAGCAGGATAGAGTCAACAGAGGCAGATGGGGGAGGACCTAGTCCATCTGAAAAGTTGGCAGCAGTTATATCAGACTGGGAAGCTCCCTACTGGCTCCCCAGATTGTCTGACCTTGGTGGACTGGTGACCTTGCAGTATACCTCTTTGACCATTCCCTGGCAGCACCATGGAGCAGGCCATGAGCATTGCCCTAGCGGTGCCTGGGCCCTTCTGCCAGATTCCCTCATTTACTCGTAGGCTTCCCCAGCATGATGCCCTTCAAACTTTTTATGTTTCAACTCGTGACATCCTTGACCACTGATTGTGCTGGCTAGCACTGATGGGAGTTGTGGTCCAAAAAGCCAAAGGATGCCCTGGTATCAATCTCTTAGTATTTTTGTTTAAGGAGCATGGTTTAAATTGTAAATTTAATACCAATGTATTAGAGCCCACATGTATAATCTCTAAAAACTAAACCACAATGCTTATCAAACACAATGGTGCTAAAGGCTGGTTTTGGTTTTGTATGTGTGTAGGTGGTTTGTTTAATGGCAAAAAATCTGACCTGCAGATATTCTAAACAGCAGAATTAATAATATACTGCTGTTGGGTTCCTAATGGGCCTGGAAACTAGCAAGCTAGAACAGGTGGTAAGAGCATGGATGTGGCAGCTCTCATCATGATCAGCAGCAGCAGCAATATTTACATTGTTCTTTTGGAATAGGGATGAGGAACTTCTGTCTTGTGAGCCCAAAATAAGATGAGGGCACCCCATATGGCCTGCCACCTTCTTTCCAGGGCTCTGCTCCTTCGCCCTTCAAGGAAAATTCTCTGATCAGCAACTAATATGAAATGAGAGCATTTCCCTGCAGGCATGAGAGGGAGGGACCTGTGACAGAAACTGCTGAGTGATTCATTTCTAGTTACTCCTGAAACTTATTCTGCTTTCATGTCAATCAATAGGAGAGTCTTGCCTCCTTATTTGTGGGTAGGCATCATGAACAGAGCTACAGAGGCTGGCCTGCTTACTTATGAGTAGACAAGCAGAGACGTATCTATTCTGAATTCAGAGGTTTGATATTTCGGAGTGCTGTGTATTTTGTAGTACATTTGCAGAATCTATATCATGCATACATCTGGGCAAAGTTAAAATCAATGATGCTAACATTTTGGTCCTGCCAACTCTGCCCCACCCACTGATGAAACTTTTTTCAGATTGGAATTCACCTCTTGAGCTGAAAATGTTCCTCATCCTTGTTTTTGATGATTGAAAGTGCTTCATATAAACTGTTTTTGTTACATCCTGTCTAGTTGTCTCTGACTTTCACAATGCTATGAATGAGTGCCATCCAAAATTTTCTTGGCAGCCCTGCTGAACTCCTGTAAATGCAAGGCTGTGGCTTCCTTTATGGAATTGATCCATCTCGTCGTCAGCCTTCCCCTTCTTTTGCCTTTGGCCTAGCCTAGCGTTAGTGCCTTATTCAATGAGTCTTGTCTATTATAATCCTTATAACAGCTCTACAAGAAGTATAAGGATGGATGCTATCTATCTGTATCTCACCAGGATTATCCACAAAATCCGTATAGATGATCTGATTTTCCTATTTTACACCCACCAGTTGCCTGACAGTCATAAATTAGTTCAGTTTCCAAATTGTTAATATTTATGACTACCATACCAAACCCAATTTGTGTGACATCATGTAAAGTCTTCTAATTCTTTTTGCTGAGTCTTTTTTACTATATTTTAAAGCTAGATCAAATTAATGTTAACTCTTTTAACATTGCTGTTTTAAATATATTGTATTTTACTATTTTGTTTTACACCTTGTTGTATACTGCCCAGAGAGCTTCAGCTACGGGGTGGTATAGAAGAGAAAAGAAATGAATGAATAAATAAATAATAATAAGGAGAAGGAGTTCATCCTCCAGAAGTGGACCATCAGGAAGGGGGTAGGTTTGGTTTCTCACACCTGGAGAATCCTGCATGTGCAAACCTCACAGCCAACTAGCTACATGCAGGCTCTCAACAGAAAGTCCTAAAGGAGCTGTTGCTCCTTTTGCCTTTTACCATCCCCTCACTGTTTCATCCTTGCAGGGGAGACCCTTGGCTTGTGAAGCTGAATGTAGCTGTCACCTGTGGCTACCTGCTGTATGGTAAGTGGCATATCTCCCTTTTCACCAGGCAGAGTCTTTGGTGGCACAAGGCATCCTTTTGGGGTTGCTGCCAAGAAAACCATTTGCTGGGGAAAATAATGGTCCCTCTAAAACTTTTTGATCACTGCTGTCCCTGTGTTTCCTCCTCCATGCTTCACTCCCTACCGGTGTCCCTGGGAACAATTTCTGCATGAAGCCCATTTGAATGGACAGGATATGGCCTCACGTGCTGAGGCATTTCCAGTGAATTGTGCCCAGGTGCATCACTCTAGAACTAGGGTAGACAACATAGAACCCATGAGCATTGATAAGATGGTGGACACTTTCTTGGGTGTCCACCAAGATATACTAGTATGCCCAATGTTTATTTTTTAAAAATATGTTATGTTTCTTTACTGACAACTGAGATTGCTTCAAAGCTGCTGCTTTCTTGACTCTAAACATGTGCCTCTGAACACATTATTTGTCCTTTGTGATTAGCAATTTTGTGGTTGCTCCAAGGACAGTTCCTCCCATTTCCAAAAGTGCCCATGGGCTCAAAGGCTTGCTTACCCCTGCTCTAAAGTAAAATTCAGCAACTGCTAGGAGAGCTTGACCCTCACCATTGCTTTGTCACCTCTGGCCTTCCCCTCTCACAGTGAGGTAGGCAATGGAACATCTTGGAATGAAGGAAGGAAGCTTGGCAAACTGTAGCAGCAACTAAGGCCTACTTCCTATTTGGGAAAACTGGTGCCCCCACTGTTTACATTTTGTTTGTTGTTGTTAGTCGCGAAGTCATGTCCGACCCATTGTGACCCCATGGACCACATTCCTCCAGGCCTTCCTGTCCTCCACCATCCCCCAGAGTCCACTGAAGCTCATGGTGACTGCTTCAGTGACTCCATCCAGCCACCTCATTCTCTGCCGTCCCCTTCTTCTTTTACCATCTATTTGTTGTACTACTTATTTATTGCTTTCCTTTAGTATGGTTGTTTGCTATAAGTCACTTGAGCAGCTTTGAGCTGGAAAGGTGGAATAAAAATATCTAATAAATAGATTAAAATGCATGTTATCATCTGTGAAGTGTCACAGAGCATTGGTGTAGCTGCCAATGGATGGATTTTTCCCAATGAACAGAAAGAGCTGCACTTATTTCTGGGAGATCCAGATTTGAAGTCCTGCGTCTAGTATAATGTATTGACTAAGTAGCTTACAACCACAAAATAAGAGAATAAATCTTTGAAAATAAACACCATTTACAGTATACACTATAGAGTTTACTATAGTCAGCCTGAAAAGAGTAAATATTAAATACTGGACATGGAATAGACCTGCCAAAACAAGATAGTGTTGACTTTGTGGTTTGGTGCCATCAGGATGGGGGTAGCATTCCATTTCCTGGTTTTGGAGAATCCTGCAGGTGCAACCCTCACAATCTGCTATGTGCAGGCACTTGGCAGAAAGTCCCAGAGGAGCTGCTTCTGCTTCTGCCAAGGAGTCTCTGCTGCAGCCTTTGGCAAGTCACTTTCACCCAGCTTGGATAACCAGCTGCACAATGGGGATCACAGTGGCCTATATATAATGCATATTAAAAAAATATCAAGTGGAATCACCTGGAAATTGAAGGAGAAGGTTTCATGTGATGCCTACTCCTAGCCCTGAGAGTCCCTTTCCCCTGACAAAAGATCGTTTCCTGACTTTTGTGCAGTTTTTTCCCCATTCTAAAAGGTTGGAAAGCCTCACCCAAGGTATATTTAGAGGCAGTAAGAGTGTCATGCTAAAATATGCTGTGGTTTCTTAGTATTTTGCCTATCTTGTACTTTAGCCCTAACCGCAGCTGGAACATGGTCCCCAGCAGCATCTCCAAAACTGAATTTGATCCTTGAGCTAAAAGGGAGCCATGATCTAGTGTGTCTTGAACCCACACTCTTCCCACACTGCGCAGCCTGCTCATGCCTGTCAGCTATTCACACCCTTTACGTCTCTAATTCCACCTTGCGCACACACCCTCCATTTACTCCCTCTGGCTTTACTGTAGGGAGGCTTCTATAAAGGGCAAAGGTAATCTATGCATCTCTCTCACCTCTCACTTGCTATAACTAAAGTCTAGTGATAGCTGGGAAATTGGTGCTGCCTATTCAAATTTTAAAAATTTGCCACTGCTTGAACTAAAAGGCAAACTGGAATGTGGTTGTGCACTAAAATTGGCAGTCTCTTGAATAGATTGTTATGCATCTCCGCACAAGAAAATGAAAATGTGCACATCTGGGGAAAGTACGGAGAAAAAGCTCTGTGCTATGGAAAAGTGTACACAAAACTGATCACAATACTGAAACTCATGTGCAGAATTGTAATGTAGGAAAAATAGTAAGCAAAAGAGTGCATTACCTAAAAGTTCACACAAGCGTGTTTGTACACAAATGTATTGATATGAAATTGGGGTGAACCAAACTTAAGGTTGGAAGTGCTAGAAACTGAATGGAACATGAATGGACAGATTTGCCCACCTGACTAAAAGCACTGCCAAGGCATTGTGGATATACATGGAAAGAGGGGGAGGTGCAAAGGATAGCGCTGGAGATCAGAGAAGCAACTCTGCTTCTAACTGTGAGGTAGAGGGTTGTGCAGACGACTCTCCTCCAGGCACCTGCATGAGGAAGCCTTTTCCCTTTAGGGGCTTCCCTCAACCTTTTCTTCTCTTTCTGCTTTGGCTGGGTACCGATATTCTCCCAGCTGCATTCTAAGCACTCTGCTCTCTTCACTACAGAATTCTAAGCCTGGCAGTTCTGCACCAAATCCATGTAGGCCCATTTCAATAAGTGGATGCCCCTTACTAGCTCTCAAAGAGGGACTGTGCATTTTGTCGGGACGAGTTCAGCTGCAGTGCCTCTTCTTTGTCTTTTTCATGTACACCTTTCATCTACAGCTTCATTTACACAGTGAACCAGTTCTGTGCAAACTAGTTTCTTATCAGCCTGGGCACAAGGAAAGCCTAGAAAGATTGCTATTAGGATGTTTCTGCAGTTATAAGGCTTCTTCATAGCCTTTTACCTCTTGGTAACACAATGAGATGTCACATTTCAGAGTTTGCCAAAGAGAATTATGGGAACCAACTGGGTGAGGTTGGGGGCAATGCATTGTCTCCTGTTTTCAGGGCTGAATGGGTTGGTGGAGAGGCAGGCAGGCAGAGTACCTCCCACAGCACCTTTTGAGTTGAAGGAAGAGAGAAATACTTGGAAAAACATCATCTCTCCCACACAGTCTTCCAAAAGTCAGGACCTCACCACCCCCACTAAGCGCTTCCTTGATTTGGTTGTTGTGGGCAGAGCCAAGGGTGGCCTAGACTGGCTTCATCAAAGTTGGTCTTCCACTGTGTTCAATGTAATAGAGAGTCTGAGGGCAGCCCACTGGGGAAACCATGTAAAAATCCCACATAGCCAACTTTGCATGCAGGCAAAGAAATCTGATGAATACAGTGAGGGTGCTTTGTTAACCCTTACTTTTGACCAGTGTGTGTCTGTTGTGGGGGGAGTCTGGCAAATTTCCCTTGAGCTGAATTTATTTCTGCCCAGAATCTGTGGCATTTTGTGTTAAGAGTTTTTCAAGGTCTGCTAAAGAAAGGGGTTGAGCCTCTGGGACACTGTGGCTCAGGGTGAAATAAGCCAGAAAGTGCCAGGGGGGAGGCAGGTACAGGAGGCCTAAGGAAAGGTTGGGAATTGTGCTGAATGAAAAAAGTCCCCCCACTGCTGAAATCCATATCCAGCCTCCTTCCAGTCTGGTATTCCTGACTGTGTTTCAGAGTCTGTGATAGGATCATGCCAATGTTGTTTCCTGACTCTCCTCAGCAGACAGAGGTGCATGCTTGTATACAAAATGTCCGTATCTTTTTGCATCTGGAAAAGTAGGCCCCAAACTGCCAATAATCCCCATACTCCTGTGTTGCTAACAACAGCCTAGCATAAAGAAACTAGGTAACGGGTGCTTCTTATATGTTACCTCTATGCCAGGAAAGGCTTTGCTGCCTAAATGTCTGTGCCCAATGTTAAGCCAGAGCAAGGCCAAGAGAAAAAGCTGGCAAGCCGAGTCTGTGGTCCTTCAGCATCTGCTTGAACCTGTTTCCTGCCTGTTCATCTCCCAGTAACTGCTCCTTGTATGTGTGTGTGCATGTTGTGTTCTACATTCTAGATCTGTTGCTGCTAGTGCGCTACTGGAAGACATTGGGAGATTCCCTTTTTGTTTGCCACCACTTGGCAGCACTATACGCGTATGGATATGTGTTGGTTAGTTTCCAGAGTCCTTCAGCTGTTGTGGGTGGGTGGGAGGATTTCATTTATTGAAAAGAAGGAACATCCACTCTTCACCCAAATGTGTGCTTCACTCTGCTCTTTGTCTGCAGCTGGCAATGCAACACCACTCTCACCCTCTCCTAAGCCACAAAGATTGGCTGTGCTCAAACAGAAAAGCTTATGGAATATGGACGAGGGAAAAAATCAGAACCATCACAGTCTGAAAATGTTCCAGCTCTTCCAACTCCAAATAATCTGGAGGAGGAGAAATGTAGTTTCTGTAGACATGAGAATTCCTGCTTTCACTTTTCATGTCTATATGCCAAGAATGACAAGCAGACAGACAGAGCTAAGCATATTTACTCAGAATTAATTTCCTCAGAGTTCAATGAGGTTCAGCCGGCAATAAGTGCTTTTAGGATTGCAGCCTAAAGAGACCTTGGTGCTGTTACAAAAATGAGTATAAAAGCATTTACTGTCTGCGAGGTCATAGTCTAGCCTAAGTTCTCCCCAGCCTGGTGCCTTCCAGCTGTGATGAACTACCATGCACATAATCCCCAGCCACCAGGCAGAAGCTACAATCCATGCTGACTGGGGATGGTGGGAACTGTAGACCAACACACCTGGAAAGCACTAAGTTGGGGGAGGCTACCCTGACAAGGTGTACTTTAAACAGTGACAGAGATCTGGAACTATCTCCAATGAGATGCCTACTACAATGAGGAGTAGGCTTGGCTTGTCCCAGTTAAGTGGGGAAGCCCTTTTATAGAAAGGGTAAGTTTTCACAGCTCCCAGTTTCTCAGCTGTGACACAGGCACACAGTAGTCCCTTATCTTGTAGACGGAATCTGCGCTAAGTGCTTAATGGGAATATTGCTCCCACTCGGTGCCTCAAGGCTGCAACCCTGCCCACTCTTCCCTGGAACCAAGTCCTGTGAATTCAACAGGGCTTCCTCCCAAGTAACCTGCTGCAATCCTGTGATGCTGTACTCAGAAACAAGTCCTGCCAGATGAAGTGGGGCTTGCTCATGAGTAAGCACAGCTCATTTTCTCTGGTCTGCCTTCCCTTTGATAGCTCGTAAACCTACCTCTGAGGATTCCCCTTTGCTTCTGTGGGAGGGAGAGCTCAAACCCAGGGTGGAGGCAGATCTGGGGGACTGCTGCCCCTCTCCTTGATTCCACCCCTTTCTCACAACCACTGCTTGGTGGTGTCCTGGCTTTTGTGCAGTTTTTTCCCAATGTGAAAGTTACAAGAAGCAAAAGCTTTGAGGACTATATGCCAGTATCCTTTAAGTGTTTGTCCCCCACTTACCTCACCCCTGGGTTTGAGTTCTCCTAACAGAGCTCCCAAGAACGTCTCCAAAATGGAATTCATCCCTTGGTCTGAAAGAGGTCCCCACCCCTGCCTTAGCCATTCTGATGCTTCTTTCCTTTCTGTCAGCATTAACTCTTGAATCCCCTCTGTGACTGCTCTCTATGCACAGACACAGATCAGCCTGCTTCCTCTTAATATTTGAGGTCGGTTGGAGTAAAGTGGAACATGGAGGTTCCTAAAGTAGGTAACTCTATTCATTCCAAGAGGGCATGTGCAGAAGGTAAACTGTGTTTATCCCCGTGGCACTTTCCAGATGTGTTGAGCTACTACTTCTGTCATGCCCACCTAATATACCTGGGGGTGATATTGGGAGTTGCTGTCCAGCACCTTTGGAAGGCACTGGGTTGGGGAAGGCTATGTTAGGCTTAGACAAGTTATGTGCCTGGATGAACTTTCAATGCAGCCCAGTCAAGTTGCACATATCTTGCATCTAAGTGGAGCCAGTGGACAGGTGCAGAGAATGGGTGGTCTCTAGACTTAGTCATACTTAGAACAGACCCATAGAATTCATTGGGAATGAAATCACTCATGAGCCAAGAAGCTTATCAGTAAAAGAAATAGTATTAAGGAAACCCTTTTTTGTTCAGTGCCAGCCTTGCAGGATTCTGTGGGCGAAGCTCTTCTGATTTTGAATGATTTAGGATGCCCAAAGGTGTGGGGTGACAGCAATGGGTCTGACAGTGTTGGTGTTCTGCTCTGCTGCTCTCTAACACTCTCTGCTTTGCTTCAGTGCTTGTGGGAGGAGGGGTCTCTGCTTGCTTTTTAAATCTACTTTTGGAAAAAGCAAGACCTATGGGACTGACTTGAGGGCAATGAAGCCAGAACTCAGGTCTTCTCTTTCTGTCCCCATAGAGCCATGGAGTGCTGCCTTACTTTGCCAACTTCCGCCTCCTTTCTGAGCTCTCAACACCCTTCGTGAATCTGCGGTGAGTTGACTGATGGAACAAGGCAAGGATGCTGAGTTCAGGAGGCTGTGTTAGCCAGTTGATATGTGGGCCCCGTCTCCTGTTTCAGGAAAGGAGATGCTAGATGAGTTCTCAAGGAAATGTGCAGACCCATGTAGAGCCACAAGACTGCCTGTTTCTTCAAGAGCTAACATCGCAAGTTTTTTGCACACTCACATTAATGGTGCTTACGAATAAGGAAGGCTCATTCCTGACTCCTTACAACCTCTGTGTAGCCCAGCATTTAAAAATGAAAAGAGAGATTCTCTGGCTTCTGTGTGAGTTGTCATATTTTTATTGATTTGTTGCTGGGCCACAACCATGCAAGCTCCTAGATGCCTTGCTTTAAGTTCCTCCATGGCCAATGACTACCACAAAAGAGTGCTTAATGGGGAACACAGGCAAACTCTCAAATCCGTAACACTGGCTCCAATTCAAACGCAACTTTGTCTCTGGCTGTGCCATTCTCTCTTTCAGGCAACCATGGCTGATTTAATGCCTCCATGTGCCACTGAAAGCTTGGATCCCTACACCCCATTTCAGGTCCATAATAATCATGTGGATGGCCTTTCTGTCACTGCCTTATTCAAGGTAGTAGAGAGGTTCCTCCTAGGCCCACTGCCAGGGTAGTTATATACATTTGTCTGTCTGTCTTCTGTGTTGCCTTAGGTGGTTCCTTGATGTGGCTGGCTGGCCACACTCCTCCTGGCTCGTCTTGGCCAATGGTCTGGCCATGATGGTGGTGTTCTTCATGGTGCGCATTGCTGTCATCCCCAGCTATTATGCACAGGTGTACTCCTGGTATGGAACTCTTGAGTATGAACGCTTGGGCCTTGGTGTCCAGTTGGCCTGGATTGGGCCCAGCCTTGCCTTGGAAGTGCTTAACCTGATCTGGATGTATCGCATCATCCGTGGCTTCTACCGAGCCTTCTGTCGGTCCAAACTACACAAGGCAGCTTGAAGATGGAGAAGTGGCAATTCTTGGCCAGGATCACAGAGACCTAAGTCCTGCTAGACAAAGGTGCAGAGAATGGGTACACCTATTCTTACTCTCTTAGATGCCAATAGCCTTAGGAACTTTCCCTGAAAGCCAGGATCCACACAAATGGAGCATTTGATCTTCTGTTCTATTTTCCTGAACAGAATCAGCTATTGGGTGCTGGAGAATGGCATCCATTCATGTTCTAGAGACTCTGAGTCACATCTGATACGGTTGGAGAGATAGTTGGGGTGTACCCAATATAGAATATTCTTTGGCATACACTGGGAGGAGGAAAATACAGCAGGATTGACACTAGCCTGGTCTTATGGTTTAGTTGGTGCTTCTCAGGGCTTATTTATGTCAGCTAGAATGGGCCTTGATGTGACTTAGTAGGTTACATTCCTGGCTGGAGCCTCCTGTGATGGGAATTCAACCTGTTTCTGCTGTAAGTCCATCAGTTGGAACGATGGGCACCCTGCATGGGACTAACCGCATGTGGGAAATAAGTGTGAGCTGTATTCCTTGGGTTGCTATTTGGTCCAAGGACTCCTAGGTGCAGTGTATGAGTATGTTGGTAGAACAAGAAATAAAGAGGGTGAATGGATGAAGGAAGAAATAGTTTCCAATAATGCACAGCAAAGGGATGATTATTAGGACCTATCAGTAGGATGTGGCAGGATTTCGATACAAGGTCTATGACAGAGCAGCAAAATATGTTTTTATGCTGCCGAGTCTGGTTAGAATACCCTATTCCATGGGTAAGTTTCCTTTGTGCAGGGGTCTCCTAACACTGGCACAGTAAACCAATTAAGAAAGCAAGAGCTAACTCCTCTGATTTAACCGAAACAGAATTTGGGTGCTTCTACATGCAGTATTTATTGTGCTGCAATTACCCCCCTTAATCCACAGAATTTTATGGGGCATCCCAGTTTCATAATTTTCCATTTGCAGCCCTTACGAGAAAAAAAAATGTTGCAAAAGTAGCTTTGGAGTGTTGTTGCTAGGAGCTCTCTGCCTGGAGGCATGTTCACTTTTGTTTTGACAGCTTAAAAGTAAAGCAATGGATCAAGGAGTGAGTTTGCTGGAGGATGGATCCACATTAGCCTTCCACCATAACTACCCAGGTGCATCTGCCACTTTGGATCTAGCACTCAGCCTCAATATTTTTTTGCTCAGAGAATGCCGTCCCCCCACACCTAGCTTATACAACGGTTCTAATATTGACTGCACCACTGAGGACGTTGACTTCCTGCCAGTAAGCATCCCCATTTTTGTGCAAGGCTCTGAACTTGTGGCTACCAGAAATGACATTGTGCTAGCAGAAACTTGGCTCCAAACTATGTGCCAAAGGAAAACCCTACTACAGTTGTATTTGCACAAGCACATTGTGCAGCAAGGTGCGCATTATGCTTGCACAGTCTCAAATGTAATGTGCAATGGAAAGATTTGGTGGTGCTCTGCTGGCGCCATTTGCGTTTGTAGAATGACACTGTTGGATACTTAGTCTTTCTTCACTTTTAGTCAGGCTTAAGAGCCTGAGTGCTAAGCAAGTCTAACACTCAGAGAAAGCTTGTGTCTACTTTTTTTTAAGTAGCAGAAACACAGAGTGAGTTTCTACCACTGCCAGTTACATTGGACCAGACAAGTTGCTCTTTTTTCAGTATGCAAGGACAGCACTCATTTTGGATCAAGACTGCCATGTGAAGAGATGGCAATTTTTGGTAGTATTTGGAATTCAGTGGCAAAAAGCTGCTAATGGATTCCAACAATGGCAGAACTACAGGGAATGAGACAGGGTACTTGCTGGAATTCAGAGAGTGCCCCTGGGAGCCCAGAAAAGCTCCCTGACCTTGTGGAATTTTCCAATCATGTATTTTTGCCTCCTGTGCTGATGGAAGACAATGAAGTTATCCTACCACATCAGTGCATGAAGCATCTGCCAACATGTATCACGACCAGCAACAGATAAGAGCTGAAGTTAGCCTTGATGCTGACAACTTATACTCAACAAGTTATAAAAAGATATTCACCCAGTCATGACTAAGGCTTCTGCAAGACATGATTGGATCTCCCACTGTTTTATACTAGTTTCATTGTAGCTATTTAGTGGGGTCCCTGTACATTTTCCCCTGTAAGGCAAACTGCATGGTGGGGGGTGGGGGTTAAAACTTTTTTCTCCCCCCCCAGCCCCCTTACCTATAACTAATTAGAAATCCACTCATAAATCTTTCTACACACTCCACTCAGCTCTTCCATCTCTGCTTGTGTTTTCATCTATATAGAATCAAAAACATTTGATTCCTTTCATTAGAAACAGGCTAAAACAAATAATTCACCAATTTCCCAAATGAGCCATTTGCTGCTAAAAGGCACATGGGAAATGTTTATAGATGCAAAAGTTCAAGTTCTCATTTTGTATGTGAAGTCTGAGTGCTTGGGGCTGCCTTCTAGGCTTATTGACTAGGGCAGTATTGCATAGTCAGTTCCCCTCTGGATTTATTGGACTCCGACTGTCATCACCTCCCTGCCAGCATGGTCAGTGATCAGATGATGGGAATTGTAATCCAAAATGTCGGATGGGCACCACATGTTCAAAAAACTGAGACAGAGCCCAGGCACTGTTGTTTCTGCACTGCCAGGGCAACTCACGCAGAGGGAGCGGTTGGCCTGGACTGAGCTTTACTGCTCTGAGGTGGCACCCAGATAACGTCTAAGGCGGTGCTGTACATGTCCTGCCGGCAGAAATCTCCAGAGGAGTTGCATGAGAACTGCCACTAGGAGGTGGGAAATGTGTGCCACTCCCTTGTGGTTACTCATTCTTTTTTAAAGATGTTCCTGAACAACAAAATACAGATGCCACCATGGGACTGGCATTGGTAGGTCTGCCTCATGCAGGACTGCAGTGATGAGCACTAACCACAGGAAAAAGCGGGTCCCCCCCCCCACCCCCGCCCGCATTCTGATTATGCTTCATGCACCGGCCAGGTTCTCTGCATCAGCACCACGCTTCCCTCATTGACACTGCAAGTGTTGCATCAATACCACCCCTCCCCCTGCCCCACATTGTATCAGGTCAGTGGACGGTCTGCGAGCGCAGGGACTATGCAGGGACAGGACTGAGAGAAGAAATCTTAGGTAGGGGTTTTACTTAAATGCAAATCGTTAGAGCATGATGATGCTCTGACTTTGCTGCAAATGCCAGTTCAGACCCAAGAGGTGGGCTATTCACTTTGTTTTGCTGTAGTAAATGAATATGATTTTAACTGTGCAATATGTAAAGTGTTTTGTATCATTTTTATCTTGATGGACATCATCACAACCAAGGAAAGGAGGCTGCCATTCTTATTTTACAGATGACAAGGAAGAAAGAGGAAAAGGCTTACTTCAGGCCACTAATAAGTAACTGACTGTCTGCAGAGCTGTGGATCCATTTCACTCTCAGTTCCAGTACACTCACTAGTCAATATTTAGCTTTCACTAAGAATGTGGTTTCCTTTTCAGATGTCAGATTGCCCAATGTTTGGGATGATGTGTCTCCCCCTCCCCACTTGCTGATTCTTTTCAGTGACTGAAGTCTGTAACTATTCAGCTTCCAATGGATCCTATTGTAGACAGTAGATCACCACAGTACAGCAGATAATCTGCTGCAGAGTGAAATCATTCCAATAGGTAGGGCTAAAATCCACTTGCCTCTCCAAGCCCCATTGAAATGCTGCTCTTATTGATTTCAATGTGATTTTTATCAAATGATTTTCTGATGGATTGGGCCCTCTGATTGCTCTGAACCAAACAAGCTGACTCAGAATATTTAAAAATTTTAGGTACATTTGAATAAGAATAAACTTTGGGGTTATTTCTTAAATTCTATAAAAAAACCCCTCAGGTGCTGGCAGAGCTGAGTGATCACTTATAGGAGAAGCCAATGAATTTGGCTTGTTTCCAAATCTGTGCCTTAAATGGTTTTGTCAGGCACTCAGCATCACCCTAAAAGTCCGAAAAGCACCTTCTATTTGTTAGATGTTACATTACAGCTGACAGTGTAAGTTATTTTGCTCTGTACAAACCTATACCCCATGTTCAACAGTGGAGATTCTGTTGTTGATTTTCTCCTGCAGTGTAGAGAATGGTAGAATCCTCACCTATGCAGTGTTTGTAGTTTTCTAATCTCTGTTTATTAACTGGAATCAATGAGTGTTGATATAATAAATAAGATTAATTTATTAAAATTTAGTCTCCTCTATCCATTCTTGTTTGTCTGTGTGCATGCATCTCTGTATTGTAGATGTTTACATTTCAGTCTATGCTGTGTGGGTGTATAAATGGACAGAGAAGTATGCATGTACCATATATGGATAGCTGGTCCTTGAAGCTGTAGTTGGACCTTCTCTCTGTACTTTGTTGCATTCCTCCTCCCTTCAGTTTCCTCAGCATATATTTGGTGCACGCATGAATATGCACTGTCCAGAATCTGAAAATGAGGGGGATGTTGAAATCACCCCAGGACAATACACCCAGAGCCCAAGAGGGTGGGGAGGGAGGGAGAGGGGGAGAGTGTGTGTGTGTGTGTAATTCCATTTATATCTCACCATTTTTCCTTGTGCAAGGTGGCTCACTTAGATTTTTCTCTCTCCATTTTATCCTCACAACAGCTGTCAAGATATGGCAATTCAAGAGATTCAATATAATTCTCTAATTCTACCCTAATAGCAATTTACAGTGATTTAAAAAAAAACAGGGTGCTATATAGACATTGACGAGCATGAAGTGAGTTTTCAGGAAAGTAACATAAGCAGCGATTGTGATAGGACTGCATAGGCTTAGGGCTCTTGTAGTTATCTCCATCTTTTGGAAATGAAGCAAGCTAGTCCATTACTTGTCCTTCCACCTTTCTTAGAGGAAATAGCTGGCAGAAAGTAGCATTTGTAAGCATTAAGTGTTATAGTGCCATGTTTCTTGCAGTACAATGAAGTCAAAGCATTCAATGTAATTTGATAATTGTATGTTATGCTGCTTTGAATGCCACCCTGCTATATTCCAAGTCAAAACTTTTATCCCAGTGTCCTTTAGGGTTCTGGACTTAGTTCTTCTACTCTTTTTAAATGCCCTGACTTGTCTAAAAAAAAAAAATCCACTACCATTCTTCATATCTACAGAGGCCCAGCCTGTGGTTTTTATGGCTTTATACAGAAAGAGAGAGAGAGACCCCTAAAAAGGGTACTGCCCATTTTTGGAGTATCTAATGGTATCTTAGCCAGGACTTTCCATTCTTACAGTCTTAAACTGTGACTAACTCTATTATACTCCAGGGGTGGCAGGCTTTAAAGCTTGGCATCTATACTTGTAAAAGATCCTGAGGCCATCTTTTTAACTATACATACAGGTGAAATAGTTAGTGGATGGGTTGTTGGTTAACAGGTGATTCCACTATTTTTCCTGATCATACTGTTGAATTTGAATCAACCTGGATTATAGCTTAGCTCATTTAGAGATGGTACTACCTTGTTTCTTATTGGGGAGTTTGGTGAAACTCCCCAATAACAATCCTCCCTTTGACACGCTGCCTTCTTTAACACTTGATAAAATATTGGCTTGCAGCTTCTTTGGGAAGATTCATGCTACTTTGCTTGAACATTGCCGGCTCTGAATCCCTGGCTTTATCAGGGCACCTGTGTCTTTTAACTTCTAGCATTCTCACTTTCTGCAATGAAGTCCAAACAAACAGTCCTCAAAAAAGCAGTGCTTTATAAAAGAGAACTCCAGATAGGTTGGGGGATTTGCTGTTGTTTTGGGGTACCTTCTATGAAGTGGAATGAGCATGCAGGGCACAGGGAAAGGAGCTCGGGAGTTCCAAACAAATGCTGCCAATCTTGCTGCCATCTTCCAACAACTCTGTGAGGTATGTTAAGCTGAGAGTCTGTGACTGGCCCAAAATCACCCAGTCAACTTCATGGCCAAGTGAGGACTTTAGGCCCAGTTCAACATTATGCCAAATTGGCTTCCATGTACTTCTGCTAATAAAATGACACAGACAGTATGCAACCCAAGCTTCTCAGGCCTCGTACCCACAGATGGAGTTCAGCTCTTACCAGTCCCAGCTACCATGGCAAATGGTCAGGAATCTTGGGAGTTTTCATCCCAAACATCTGGAGGGCACCAGGTTGGGGAAGGCTGATACTTATTTCTCTCTCTCTCTCTCTCATGCACACAGGCACATGCACACACAATCTAAAGTGATATTTCTGTGCAGCATCAGAAGTGGTGGCAAAGTTAGTGTTTATATCCAGAGGATATGAATTTAGTTGATTTGTAGTGATGTGCTGAATTTCCAAACCATCTCTAAACGCAGGCCCAGCCTGGCCTCCTGCCCAGTCTGAATCTTCTAAACCATGGGTCCACAAACTATGGCCTGCAGGTCGGATACGGCCCGCCTTGGTCATTTAACTGGCCTGCCTGAGAGCTTTTGAACTTGTCCTGAGAAAATGATCTCTGAGCGAGTCCAAAATTAATGGATGAATTTCAGTTATTGCGGCCTGATGATGTAGACAAGGTGCTTGGACGAGTACGTCCCACCACTTGCCTATTGGACCCTTGCCCGTCTTGGTTAATAAATAACGCCAAGCACGGGATTGGGATCTGGATCTTGGAAGTGGTTAACGCTTCTCTGAGGGAGGGTCGGGTACCTGCCCCTTTAAAGGAGGCGGTAGTCCATCCGGTCCTGAAGAAAGTGTCACTGGATCCAGAGATGGCCACTAATTATAGACCAGTGGCAACATCCTGTTTCTGGGCAAGGTGTTAGAGCGAGTGGTGGCGGGACAACTCCAAGCACTCTTGGATGAAACTGATTATCTGGACCCATTTCAGTCCAGCTTCAGACCCGGGTATGGTAATGAATCTGCCTTGGTCACCCTGTACGATGACCTGTGCAGGGAGAAGGACAGGGGGAGTGCATCCCTGTTGGTTCTTCTGGACCTCCCAGCGGCTTTCGATACCATCGACCATGGTATCCTTCTGAATAGGCTAGCGGGAGTGGGGGTCGGAGGCACTGCTCTGCAGTGGTTCCACTCTTATCTCAATGACTGTTTCCAGAAGGTGGTGCTGGGGGACTATGGCTCTGCGCCATGGCAGCTATGCCATGGAGTACCGCAGGGGTCCATTTTGTCCCCTTTGCTGTTTAATATCTATATGAAACTGCTGGGAGAGGTCATCAGGAGGTGTGGGCTGCGGAATCATCAGTACGCTGATGATACCCAGCTCTACCTCTCGTTTTCCACCAATTCAGGTGAGGCAGTGGCTGTGCTGAACTGGTGCCTGGCCGAGGTAATGGGCTGGATGAGGGCCAATAAACTGAAGCTCAATCCAGACAAGACGGAGGTCCTGTTGGTTGGCGGATCGGGCTTTGGTGAGGGTGAATTGAACCTAGTCCTGAATGGGGTTGCACTCCCTCTTAGGGACAAGGTCCACATCTTGGGAGTGCTCCTCGACTCAGAGCTTTCACTGCAAGCTCAGGTGACAGCGGTGGCAAGGAGCGCTTTCTTTCAGTTTCAGCTGATCCATCAGCTGCGCCCCTACCTGGAATATGACTGCCTGGAGACAGTGACACACGCGTTGGTGACTTCCCGCCTTGACTTCTGTAATGCGCTCTACGTGGGGCTACCCTTGAAGACAGTCTGGATACTTCAATTGGTTCAAAATAGAGCTGCCAGGCTGCTGATGGGGACTGGGCGTTATGTTCGCATGACTCCAGTCCTCCATCAACTTCACTGGCTTCCCATTGAAGTCCGGGCCCAATTTAAGGTGTTGGTGATGACCTATAAAGCCCTAAACAGCTTGGGTCCTGGTTACCTGAAGGAGCGTTTACGTCCATATATGCCCGCCCGCCCCTTGAGTTCAGCGGGAGAGGCCCTTCTCCGGGAACCCTCCATGAAGGAAATTAGGAGGGTGAGTACTCGGAAGAGGGCTTTCTCTGCGGTGGTGCCCAATCTATGGAATGCGCTCCCCAGAAAGGTCTGCCTGGCGCCGTCGTTATTTGTTTTTCGGCACCAGGCAAAGACCTTTTTATTCAAGCATCATTTTAACTGTTAATAGTATTTATTGATTTTATTTTTTGGCCAGGGCGACTTATTTTATATTGTTAACTTGTTTTATATGGGGCGGCATAGAAATTTTCTAAATAAATAAATAAATAAATAGCTCTGAGCTGGTGCAGGCATTCTCTGAAACTGAGTAGAGAGCCAGCGCACGTGCCAGATTGTAACAGCTTCCTTGAACTGCGCATGCACCGGCTCTTGCCTCTACTGCATGCATGTGTTGGCTCTTAATACAGAGCGGGAATACGGAGTGGGAAACAAAAGAGAGGAGGGCAGGAGAGAGACAGAGAGATGAAGACACTAAAAAAGGATAGAAGGTAAGAAAAATATAACTTTAAATCTATTTTTAATTATGTGAGCCACATCCCCGGGCTATGGGCCAAGCCGCAGCTGCCTCGCCCAGACAGGCTGAGGTGATGCGGGGCCGTGGCTCTTTGAGCAAGCCGCCACTGTCGAGCAGCTGCCATGCTTCCCCCCACGGTGGAGAGAGGCGGGAGGTGCCCCACTCGGCCAGCCGTGGCCCCGTCCCGCACCTCCCCTTACCTCAGAAAGCAGCCCTTATCTTCCTCCTCGCGGCCCTCTCCTGGCCGGGGAAGCTGCCCCACACTCGCCTCTCCGGCCTCCCGCTCCCACTTCCTCAGAAGCGGGGTGGCGGTGAGGACTGTAATTTCTGTCATGCCCAACTAGCATGGCCAATGGAACTTGTAGTCCAACTCATCTGGACAGTACCAGTTTTGGGAAGGTTGCACTAAAACATGGTGGTTATTAGCTCTGCATCCAAATGCAGCCACTGTGTATTGTGGGAATTGTTCTGGGCTGACTTGCTTCAAATACTAAGAGTGGCATTAACAGTATTTATCCTTAGTATTTTTGTTTCATTCTTTGTAAATGCCAGTTGCAGTCATCAGCTGCATTATGCAAAATACTATATTTTGTGCCTTGGTTGTGTTGTAGTTATGTCCTTTGAATATGGACGTGCACTTCCCCACCTCATCTTGGGCTCCTGCTACAGTCTGAGGGAGCAGAGCAAACATTTTTTACTTTTTTAATTATTTTAAATTGTAATTATTTTAATTAATTTAATTTAATTAACATTACTATTGATATTAATTTTTAATATCAATTAATTTTGATTAATTTTTAATGTGCAGTGTGCATATGAATTCATTCATATTTTTGCAAACTATAGTCCTCCCCCACAACAGTCTGAGGGACAGTGAACTGGCCCCCTGTTTAAAAAGTTTGAGGACCCCTGTTCTAAACCATGGAAATTTCTGCAGCTTCTTCAACAACTGGGCACAGGCAAGAAATATATATATATTGAGATAGCTCAATAAATATCTTGCATGGAAGCAAGCAAGGAATGGAGGAACTGGGATTCAAATTCCGACTCATTCACTGTGTCCACTGCTAAGCCTACCTTACAGGACCATTGTGAGGAAAATGTGGGCAAGACCATGTACGTCATCTTGAAAGAAAGGTGGGAGAACTATGTAACCCCCTTTAAGACTCCCTGTCTTGGGACTTGGTTGCAACCTGGACACGTAACATCATTGCTGGCCTACCCCATTCTTCACCAACCAGCCGGTGTTTGTGGGGAAAGCTCTGACTGTACTATGTATTTTGTCAAACCAAAAAAGTATGTTTGGAGAAGGTCATGCCTCTCCCTGTTCATATCATTCCTTCGCCATCAGTGCCCTTCACATATGGCCAGGCAATTCATTCCTGTAGAAAGGCAATTCTGTTCTACAGCAATGTACCCAACAAATTTGACCACACTGAAAGAACAAAAACCAGTCAACCCAGATCCTGACATTATCAGTCAAAAGACTTTCTGCAAGTATTCTGGCTTTCAGAAGACAGAAGAAGTGGTAGGAAAAGAGAGGAGAGTTGAAATAATCATCTGGGTACCCTGCAAAGTTCCAGGGACGAGGCAGCACAAAAGCAGGATAAGAGGCTCTCTGGGAGCAGAGAACAACACACCGTTAGACTGGATTTTGTCCCTAAATCAGCCACTGTAATAGCTTGCAAAAGAGTCTGTGATGCCCACAAGAAAACCATACATTCAGCATACTTTGGTAGTTCCCCAAAGAGCAGGTGGCAGCAGGTCACGGGGGTAGATGGATAAATGCCCCTGGGGCTAGCACTGAGTTGAATATACACTGCTTAAGCAGCAGGCAATAGGAATATTCCTAACGCTTTGCTCAGTTTATCCAATATTTCCTACTGCTCTGAATCCTTCAGTAGTACATTTGGCATTCCTCCATATGGGTACAGTAGATGTTACATCTCTCTGCTGCACCTTCGCATTGCCCAGTTCACCCCAGCCACCTTAGCATGGCTGCTGGTCTCCATGGGCAGCTGTAGCATAATGGCCAGTTTGCCTCCAGCCACCAACAACCATGTGATGGAACAGAATAGTCATTCACTGGGTTCCCCTTCCTTGCACAGGAGATCCCTAAGAGATTATCTCACTCCTCCTGCAGCTCAGCCCATGGGTGCCACTTCATTTGAAGCACCAGTCATGTGGCCCTGCCAAGTGGATGCTGCAGTAGCGACCCAGTAGCTGTCTTGTTATCTGCCCTAAAAAGCAACACTCTCTCTCTCTCTTGAGGCTATGTTTACCAAGCTAGTGGGGTGATGACGTCAGCCTGACTGCTAGGGTGCTATAAATGGAAATGCTCATTCTTAGTAACGATACAGCACGCAGCAAGGGGGAAGAGGGGGAAGCTCTGATTCAGCTGCCATGCATCCCAGTCTCACATCATCAGCAAAAATTAAACTCGCAGAAGCTCCCTCAGGAATTGATGAGACCATGTGTGCCAAGTGACACACTGAGCTACTGCAGTTAACTATGCGGCTGCCACATGGTGGGCAGAAGCAGGCCATCACCGGCATACAGAAGGATGTGCCTGAAACACAAAGCAATGATTCACCTAGTCTACCCTAAACAGTAGTGCCTCCGCAAGTTGCCCAGCAGATCTTTTTGCTGACCTAGCTCAAGAAAGAAAATCCTTCAACAGGAAACTGAACAGAGATATTCCCAAGCAGATGCTAAGATATTAAAACATGTTTCGCCATCTGTACACATGGGAAGCCAGCCATGCCTGAAACGAATCCACTTCAAACAGCATGATCCAACGTGCCTTCTCCAACTTGATGGAGAGCCCTGATCAAGCCATTGGCCATGATGACTGGGAATGATGGGAGTTGCAGTTCAGCCTATCTGGAGGGTACCACTTTCAGAAGGGAGATACACCAACATTAAGACACATGAACATGTCTTATCCTTAATCACACTGCTGGTCCTGCCAGCCCAGAAGGATGAAATGACCTTGTGTGTCCCTGGCCATGCTCCTCTCAAAACCCTTTTAACTGGAGGGGATCTGGGACAATAAGCAGGAGAAGGTTGTGCTCTCCTGTTTTGCATGGAAGATAGTTTTAGAAATATATAAGCTCTCCTTTCTCATCAATTTTAATTTTCGGATAGCAAGCACTCTTACAAAAACTTTATTCTGTGGTATGTTACCTCTTCCTGAAAATATAATTAAATGTAAATTAAATGTAAATAGCATTAAATGTAATTAATGTCCCATCTTAAAAATGCTTATGCACATTGGCCCTTTGATTCTCTTCTAAAACAATGTTGTTAAGATTCAACTCACATGCACCTCTTCATTAAGTATCATTTAATTCCACTTGGCCCTTTCATATTCTTTTTTTTTTTCCTAGCAAAGGCACTTATTACAAAATCACCAGAATATCAGTTTTCCTGAAGGGTCATTAAGCTCAAACTTGACATGTTTCCATTCCCATTAGTTTTTTTTAACTTTACCTTTTAGAAAACAATATGTTCACAGGGGCACTCTAACAGTCCCACAGAGTTTGAGATACGATGGAGTTGTTAGGGAGGGACCATTAATATCTCTCTATACCAGGGGTCCTCAAACTTTTTAAACAGGGAACCAGTTCACTGTCCCACAGACTGCTGAGAGGTCGGACTATAGTTTGAAAAAAATATGAATGAATTCCTAAGCACAGTGCACATTAAAAATTAATTAACATTAAAATAAATTTAAAATCAATTGAAATTAAAATAAATTTAAAAAGTAATTAAAAATTTTAAAAAATTTGCTCTGCTCGCTTGAGCTGCAGCAGAAGCCCAAGATGATGCCATGCTGCTTGCCGAAAGGTAGAGCACGACACGAGGGGGAGCCATGAGGGCGCGCTCACCTTGGTTGAGGCCTTCCTGACTCCTCGCTGCCACCCCGCTTCCAAGCCAGAGGAAGGTCCCCTCTCAGGCGCTCCCCTGGCTCCAGGAGGGGGAGCAGGAGACTGGAGAGGCAGCCCCAGCCAGGGGAGGGCCATGAGGAGGGAGGTAAGGGCTGCTTTCTGAGGTGAGGAGAGGTGAGGGACGGGACTGCGGCTGGTCGAGTGGAGTGCCTCCTGCCTCTCCCCGCTGCAGAGGGAAGAAGCATGGCAGCTGGTCAATGGTGGCGGCTTGCCCAGAGAAGGCCACAGTGGAGGTACGGGAGCCACGGTCCCGCTCTGCCTTACCCTGTGCACTCCTGGGCTCAGTAAGGCAGCTGCGGCTTGGCCCGCAGCCCAGGGATGTGGCTCACAAAGTTAAAAATACATTTAAAAAGTTAGATTTTCTTACCTTCTATCCTTTTTTAGTGTCTTCGTCTCTCTCACTCTTCCACCCTCCTCTCTTCTGTATTCCTGCTCTGTATGCAGAGCCAACGCATGCGTGCAATAGGGGGGAAGAGCCGGCACATGCACAGTTGAAGGGAGCTGTTACAATTTGGCGCGTGCACGGGCTCTCTGCTAGTCTCCAAAACTTAAAGAGTTTCAGAGAACACCTATGTCAGCTAAGAGCTTTCAGACTTGTTCAGAAATCATTTTCTCCAACCAAGTCAAAAAGCTCTGAGGCAGGCCAGGTAAGTGACCATGACGGGCCGTATTTGGCCTGTGGATCGTAGTTTGAGGACCCATGCTCTATACAGAGGCAGTATACCTCTAAACATCAGTTCTGCATACATCTGCTCTCAGGAAAGTGTGCCTAGGATTGTAGCCTCAGTGTGTAAAGCACAATTTTATACATATTTACTGGGAGCAAGTCTCACTAAACACAGCAGGCTGACCCACTGCATGAATAGGTATGTATAAGATTGCACTGTACATGTATGAATGAGGGACAATTTGGCACATGACTGGCAGGTCAAATGTGCCCCCCAACAGCCTCAAGAATCTGCCACTTACTGGCACCATCCACTGGATTTGGGAGAAGGCAGTAGTGTCACAGCAGCTGAGGACCCGTTGTCAGCTTGCTCTCTCTTCTTTAAGGGATGAAGGCACATCTCTGAGAGATAGGCACACTTTTCTTGAGGCTTAAATGTGTATGCACCTTTGGTCATTTGCTACATTCATCCAACTCTCATTACCATGGCTTGTCCCAAAGTTAGGGTAGCCAGGTGTAAAAGAAGCTTGAACTCCTGCACCTTGTTCATTAGAAAAGTGATTTTCCTGCTAAAAGCCCTTCTTCTACACAACTATGAGAGATGTAGGAACTCTAGCCTCTCTTGCACCTGGCCATCTTAACCTAAGATTTCTCTAAATTCTAAGTTCAACAAGCTGGCCTTAGGAGAGAATTGGGATGTGACTTTTGAAGGGTTCCATAGATGTAACCATTATAATAGAAGTCATAGCCCAGCTATCACCATGCCAATGCTGACTTCACAGCTTCCCTCACACACGTGCATATTTGCAAGCCAAATAGAAACAGAGTAAGTCAGAAGGCGCCTCCCGGGCCATCTAGTATGTTTATGTTGTAAGCTGCCCCGAGGCTTCGGCGAATGGGGCGGCATATAAATGTTTTAATAAAATAAATAAATAGTCTGACCCCCGGCTCTAGCCGGCTCCACTCACGACATGCCCACCATGTGCATGTGCAGCCTATCCTTGAACATCCTCACTGATGGGGCCTCAACCACCTCCCGTGGAAGCCCATTCCATATCCTCGGGGTCCTAACTGTCAGGAAGTACTTCCTGGAATCCAAATTGAACCTTGGTTCCCTGAGCTTCACTCCATTGGAGCATGTTCTGCCCTCCTTTGCAGGGAAGGTCTCTACCCACCTCCATGTGATACCCCCTCACATACCTGTATGTCACCAACAGATCCCCTTGGAGTCTCCTTCAAGCTGAAAAGAACCAGTTCCCTCAATCTTGCCTCATACGGCTTTCCCTGTAATCTGGCCACCATCCATGTGGCCCTATGCTGCACAGATTCCAACTTGGCTATATCTTTCCTGTAATGTGGAGCCCAGAATTGAACACAATACTCCAGCTGCAGGCACACCAGAGTCATACAGAGTGGTAGTAATACCCCTCTTAATCTAGAAGTCACACTTCTGGCTATGCGACCAAGGATGGTATTCGTCCTCTTGACTGCCACATCACACTGCTGACTCATGTTTAGCCTGCAGTTGGCCAGTACTCTGAGATCCCTTTCACAAGTGCTGCACTCCAGCCACTTGTCCCCTAGCCTGTATTTATGGCACCCATTCCTATGTCCAAGTGCAAGACCTTGCACTTATCTGCATTGAACGCCATCCTGTTGTCTCCTGCCCACTTCCATAGTCTGTCCAGATCCTTCTAGATCCGGAATATCTGTTCCTCAATTGTGGCCACTGCCCCCATTTTAGTATCATCTGTGAATTTAATCAGCAAACTGGTCACACCTTCTGCCAGGTCATTGATGAAATGGGGGACCAACTCTCAGACTCACCTCTTAGATGAATTGTCTGCGTCTGGGGCCTTTTAATGTTATGCCTGACAACATATACATTTAAATTGAATAATCCTTCATTGCCCAGCCCCGCCACTTTAATCCACCCTTCTCATGCTGTGCTGGTGGGCCTGGGATTCTAGACTCCCATGAAACTTGATCGGACCATTTGTGGTATTCAAAGAGCATCTGCTTGGGCCACTAAATGGAGAGTATGTAGATAGACTGCAGATCAGTTCCCACACAGAATTGCTTGGTGCTGCTTCTGTCTTTCCCAGCTAGACAAATGGAGCCTTTATACACAGAGGCAGTAGACCTCTGAGCATGTGAACCTGGGCAAAGACTTTAAAGAAAGGCCACACTCTCTGGGAGCTTAGTGTCACCTGGCTAACCACTATCAGAAACAAACAGTTGATCTTGGTCTGCTACAACAAGGTACTTACATTGGGGTGGTCTAACCATTAATGTAAATGGGAAGAAGAATAATGACCAGCTCCCAAGGCTGTTGGGAAGCTGAATTATTTGCATCCACAGCATGGCCATGCCATATGTAATCACCCCCTCCCCGCCCCCTTGTCCTTGCCCTTTCCTATCTGTTAGCTTTACAGGAAGAGGCAAGCTCCTAGTTCAAATGGCCTAAGAGGCCAAGACACCTTGCTTTAGATTTGAGGACACCTAGGAACAGATTGTCAAAGATGATATACCTTTTATTGAATACAATGATGAAATAAGGATGTGGAATATACACAAGCAAAGTAAAATTTCCACTTCCTCATCTATAGATCTAGACTGCTAGGCCTTCTGAAAAAGACTGGGCAATGCCCCCCTGCAATCCCAGCACAAGGTGTTCCCTTTCCCCTACCCCAGGAATAATAAATGCACCAACTCTGACACAGTTCAGAAGCACATTGGCATCTGATGATTTTTGTGATTCCCCTCCCTTTCCCTCTTTTTTGGAGATGGCTATTAGTTGCACTTCAGTATGTTTTCTATTATATAACTGTATAGATATCTGTATATCTATATTATGGATTTATTGCTCAATGCTGCCTGGATATGTTTTCTACAGAGAAAGAGAAAGTGAGACTTTATGGCTCTTGGCTCTTTTGCACTTGTTCCATTCACAAGTGCAAAAAAGAAAACAAAATCCTATTCTTATCATCCTTAGGGAACACCCTTGTACTACAGGATGGGAGTTGATCAAAATAACTTGCAAGAATTTACCCTCCCCTCCATTTGTGTACCTGTGATTGTCACAGGGCTGACTCAATATATTTTGCTGAGGCAAAGGGTGAGATGACACCTCCTCCCGTTCTGTCTACAAAAACTTACACTGTTGACTGGGCATGACCTCCACAGCATCTGAATGCTAGCTTAGGGGATGCAGGACAAAAAGCTAATACAGCTCTCTCATCCCACACTTTTCTGCTGCCTTCCAGTGTCTGCTGCCTGAAGTAACTGCCTCCCTTTGCTCATGGTAGGGCCAGCCCTGGTGAAAAGAGGTTGCTAGAATAGGCCAAACCAGATGAGCAAGCTAGCTTGGCAGGTTTCCTACAGCAACTGAGATTAGCTGAGTGGTGACTGTCCTCAGAAATTGGGATAGGTTGTTTAAAAGGGGTTTACCTTTATCTCTCTTTGCTTAGGGAATGTGCTAATTGAATCTGGGGTGAGAACAACAGAGGCAAGCAGGGCCTACATGTATAGGAACCAGTGTGTCCTGGACCTGGATCTGACAAGGAGGCAGAGCATTAGCTTTTCTCTTTCTACAGGAAATCCTTTGGGAATATTGATTCCCTTGTATACCTGGTGGGGAGCAGGGAGCTCTTTGGATGTTAATGCTATGCACCCTCATCTTATTTATATGAGTAAATGAACTTCATATTACAGAAAAACTGTAAGACCTGAGAGTGCCTCTCTTCTAAAAAATGGAATGGCTCAGGGGAGGATTGCATGTGTGCAATTCTATATTCCCCTTCAAATATGCAGTATTAAACAGGAGTTATTTAGATATGGTGCCATACCATGCTCCTGTGTGGTGTGCTTGAGTGTGTGTGTGGGGGGGGGGGGGGGGAGAGACAGAGGGAGAGAGGGAGAGCATAAGTGGGGCCAATGAATGCACGTGAAAGGGGTCTGTGAGTGGCACCATCTTGTCCTTTGCCTCAGGCAGTGAAATGCCATTGGTGGCCCTGAGCACTTTGTGCCCCAGCTGCCTTCAAATCTCATTAATTCTTCAGCTCAGTTCTGGGAATGGGCTTAGGA